GTATCCGTTCTCTCCGATAGTAAAGCACCCGTCAATATTGTCCGGAACCCCATTTTTCATGAACGAACCAAACATGTCGAACTCGACTGTCACTTTGTCCGGCAGCAGTTCCTCTCCGATCTCATCACTCTTTCTTTCGTTCCTTCCTCCTCTCAGATTTTTGATCTTAAGGGTTCCAAGCAAAATATACGATCGTTTTCAACATATATACACTTATAGATTTAGAATTCTTACCGAAGTTAACAGGGTAAAGACCTGAAAAACAGTAATTCATCTCAAAGTTACAAACTTTTCAAGGAAACAACTAAATTTCAAAGAAAGAAGAGCAAAATAACATAGTAATAATCCAGTTCCTGTTCCACTCCCAATTCAAAACACCAAGAGAGTAGTTGCAGATCCAATAAAGCATAAAGCTTATGCAAGCAGAAGAAAAAATCGACAATTTAAAATCTTACAATAAGCTCTATAGAAACAACCAGAAACGAATATCACAAAAGAGGAATTAATACACATACAAAGAGGTTATTCAAGAATTTTAAACGTTGATAGTAACATACATGGGTAAGCAGTTACACCAAAAATTGAGGAATTAGACGATGCAGTAGTTGGATTGGTGTTGACCGGTAGAGTCGTCTCTGCGGTTGCATTTTATAAATTGCATTCATCAAATGTGTTTTATAAGTTGAATTCATACAATGCATTTATAACTCGCATTGTCTAATACGCTTTATAAGCATTTATAACAAAAGTTGAAGAATTAGACGATGTAGTAGTTGGAGTGGTGTTAAACAATAGAGTCGTCTCTCCCGCAGCAACAATAAGTCAGTCGCATTTAGCTAATGCATTTATAAATCCAATTCAACGAATGCGTTTTATAAGTTGTATTAGACGAATGTGTTTTATACCTCGCGTTGTGTAATACGTTTTATAAGCATTTACAACAAAAGTTGAAGAATTAGACGATGCAATAGTTGTTGGAGTGGTGGTGAATAGTAGTCGTAGAGTCGTCTCTCCTGCATTGGAGACATTGCGTTTATAAGGCGAATGTGTTTTGTAAGTCTCATTTTTGGAATGCGTTAATTAATCGCTTTTGCAGAACCGCATTTTATAAGTTTAAGTCGCAGTCAGTTTCCATTACAATCCTTTGTATCGAATTTCTCGGACTTATAAATTACATTTCCAAATCCGGTTTTATGGAATCTATGTTAAAGTTTCTATTTGTATATGGCCAAAATCGAGGTGGTTAATCGAGACCGGGGTAGTAGACCGAGGTTCAATCCAAGTTATATTGGATCGTTACACGACTAAATATTGCCTAGTTCGTGATTCAGGGATCGATCGAGATCGAGATCAGTTAAAGTCGAGACCGAGAAGGATAGAGATCTAGCAAGATCGAAGGAAGCCTGCTAAGTCGAATAACAAAAAACCGAGTATAATACGGCCATTATTTTGGCTAATGAAGTCCATATCACATAGCATAAGCATCTTTGCAAAGTATAGACTTTGTTGGCAATATTCTTTGGGACCCAAAAATATTGCATTGTGTGGTGGACATCATTTGCACAAGTTGTATCTCTTCTTTTACACCTAAGAGGCCAAGATTTTTTTGCCTATAAAAGGGAAGGCCATTAGTTCATTTTAGATACACCAATAAGACTTGAGTGTTCATTTCTTGTTTCTTCCTTTCTTCCTTTATTAAGAGTGTTTTGTATGAGAGTTAAGTGTTGGGAAGCACTTGTGTGGACCCTTTCTTTGGAGTGATCTTGTGAGGTTATTCTCTTAGGGTATTTGGGATTAATTAGAGCTTTTACTCTAATTTTGTACTCTCTTTTGTACTCTTATTGTTATAGTAAATTGCTCCTCTCCGCTTGTGGACGTAGGTCACTTTGACCGAACCATGTTAAATTTGTGTCTTCTTTATCTACTTTAATTGTCATTGTTATCAACTTCCATTGTCTTTGTTATTGTCATTATACCGTTGTTTGGCTAAATTCCGCACTATCCGATTTTCCGATCCTAAAAAAATGGTATCAGAGCCGGATCTAACCGGATTTATTTTAGTAGCCAATATGACTTTAACAAAGACCTATGTTGAGAAATTTGACCGAAGTGCAAACTTCGAAATGTGGCAATTAAAGATGGAAGCTATCCTAATTCAGGATGGCTTAGACTTGGCGTTGCAAGGAAAGGAGAAAAAGTCGGATAAAATGACGGATGAGGAATTTACTGTCATAGACAAAAGGGCAAAAGCATCTATCATTTTAAATCTCTCAAATGAGGTTTTACGTGAAGTTTATGTAGAAACCACAGCCAAAGGCATGTGAAAAAAATTGAAAACCTTATATATGAAGAGGACGGTGGATAATAGACTTTACCTGAAACAGAAGCTTTATACAATTCGTATGGTTGAAGGTACCTCTATTCTCTCTCATCTTGACACCTTTGATTCCATTCTTATGGATTTGAGTAATATAGATGCTGAAATTAAAGATGAGGATCAAGCTGTGTTACTGTTTTGTTCTCTACCTTCATCTTTTAAGTATATAAGAGATACTATGCTTTATGCAAAGGATAATATCTTTTATAAGGATATTAAATCTATCTTAAAATCAAAAGAACAGATAGATAGTGATATGACTGGGGAAGCTAGTGGAACTCAAGCGGAAGTTGGCTTGTTTGTTAGGGGCAAATCCGACTCCATATCCAGATACAATAATTTAGAGTGTCGTTATTTTCATAAGAAAGGTCACATTATCTCCGAATGCTATAAGCTGAAAAATAAAGAAAAGCATAGGGAAAGGAAAAATGAGCACAAAAATACTGACACTGCCGAAGCAAGTGTAGCTGCTGATGAGATTGAGGGAACTATTTTTTTAGCAACTAATAATAGTTTCAAATCTAACAATGAGTGGATTTTAGATTCGGGTTGTTCTTATCATATGTGTCCCAATCGGGATTTATTTACCACATATGAATCTATTGGAGGTGGAGTTATCTTGATGGGCAACAATACTGCCTGCAAAATTATTGAAAAAGGTACAGTCCGAATCAAAATGCACGATGGTGTGGTGAGAATTCTTACCGATGTTAGACATGTTCCTGACTTGAAGAAAAATCTAATCTCTTTGGGTACTCTAGAATCTCTTGGGTGCAAGTACACAAGTGAAGGTGGAGTTCTGAAATTTTTTCAAGGTGCTCGTGGGATCATGAAAACACACAGATCTTGTTCGTTGTATACTTTATCGGGCTCCACTGTTATAGGCCCTACTACAGTTTCGGTATCAGACAACTTGTCTGATTTTGATGGCATTAAATTTTGACATATGCCCATTGGGGCTTTTGCGGAGAAGGTGGAGCAAATTTACTATATCATCCAAAATTAGGCCAAGGTGGAGATTTGTAATATGACCATTATTTTGGCTAATGGAGTCCATATCACATAGCATAAGCATCTTTGCAAAGTGTAGACTTTGTTGGCAATATTCTTTGGGACCTAAAAATATTGCATTGTGTGGTGGACATCATTTGCACAAGTTATATCTCTTCTTTTACACCTAAGAGGCCAAGACTTTTTTGCCTATAAAAGAGAAGGCCATTAGTTCATTTTAGACACACCAATTCAAGAGCTTTTCACTCTTGTCTTTCTTTTTCCTCCTTTATTTTATTATAGAGTATTTTGTAAGAGAGTGAGTGTTGGGAAACACTTGTGTGAACCCTTTCTTTGGAGTGATCTTGTGAGGTTATTCTCTTGGGGTATTTGGTAATTAGAGTATTTACTCTAATTTTGCACTCTCTTTTGTACTCTTGTTGGTATAGTGAAATTGCTTCTCTCTGCTTGTGGACGTAGGTCACCTTGACCAAACCACGTTAAATTTGTGTCTTCTTTATCTTCTTTAATTGCCGTTATTATCAACTTGCATTGTCTTTGGTGGAGATCTCGGCATGTATCAAGTCAAGACCAGTTGATTAGCCAATCAAGAGATTTCCTTCTGTATTTAGAATTGTACCATATATAGAACTCCTCTACTATATAAAGGGGGTTCCAATCATTTTGGAAAGACAGATTCACGCATAACAAAGCAATATATTACGTTTTCTCTCTTAAGCTCTCTTATTCAGTAGTTCAGTTCTTACTCTTCAATAATACACTTACTTGGTGCGAGGGCAACCTAGTTCAAGGGCCAAAGATGTATGATATATCAGTTTGCTTTATTTTACAGTTAATTTCTAACTTCAATTTTCATATTTCTCAGTTTGCGCCAAGTGAAATCACATATCCTTAAAATCACTTACAAATTTAATTGTTATATGATTTTAAGGGTAAAAACTATTTTTTCCATTATGATTTATCCTTACTATAAATGCATTTTGGTAAAATCAACACATCATTAAAATTGTTGAGGAAAGAATGCAAATTTTGAAAAATAAGTTCTCACGTGCTACTATTATTTCGCAAAATAAATCAATTTTTGCTGGAAAAAAAATGCGTATGTTTAATAAAGTATTTTTTTGTTGTTGATAAATTTGATGTATACTTTGATATTTTAGTTTAGTATTAAGAGTAAGTGGGTAAAATGACCTTTATATAAATTTTAAGTCATGAGGTCGACAATGTTCATATTTGGTTGAAGTTGATAAAAGAACACCTGAAGTTGAAGTAAGAACTATTATTTCAATGAAATACTTATCAATTCAATTCTTTTAATTTGAAATTATCTATTTCAAGTTAAAGTTGATATAATTGACCAAATTGTAAAATAATTATTAATAGATAATAATATTTTAATCCGAAGTTGAAATAATAAATAATACTTGCAAAATAAATATGCCCATTACAACAACACTTCCAAACTACACATTAATCAATAATTGTATTCAGCTATCGAGATTCAAAGTTTCTCTTAACACTGCTATATTGGATATTGGCCAGGCCATGGGAATCAGAATTACATTCTGCTCAGACATCAAACTGAATGAATTATTAGAATATAACAATATGATTAGGAATATAATTAACAATATGATTAATTGGTATGTATGAACATCAAACTGAAAAGATGGTTCAAAAGCCTTTTGGTTTGAATCAGTTCTTCCAAAAGTATACACCATATGATTATTCTGAAACAAGTACAAATATTTCTGTCGTGCTATATCACAACATGAGCATGTTAATAACAGCGCATATACTGATTATTCAACTAAATTTCAATAAAGAAAACCTTGGTTTTCAGGATCAGTGTCACCACTTCTGTACCTTAGAAATAACCTTAGAGATAACTTGATATGGTGAGCAAATTCCATTAATGTCCAATTAAGCTGCTCGAATCCACGAGCTGTTATGAAATCTTGAGATTAATCTTCTGCTTCTTCTCTTTCTCTTGGAACAGCACCAAAGTTGTTAACTAGTAAGTCCACAATTATTGGCACCAAATCCTCACAAGGTACTGATTTCTTATAAACATCTCCCAAATGTGAGTCACTCCCTATTCTGCCTCCCAAATAAACATCAGCACCTTCTACAGTTTTCCCTTCTTTTCTTGTCAAGCATCCCATAAATCCAATATCCGCGACTTGAACTTGTCCACATGAATTCGGGCAACCAGTCCAATGCATCCTCACCGGCTTTGTCACAGAAACTAGTCGTTGTACCTCCTCAGTTATCTTCATGGAACGCGCTTTAGTCTCAATTATGGCTTGCCCGCAAAATTGGTTACCAGTACAAGCCACCAGATTTTTCATGAGAATAGGTGGATTGGTCGAAAATCTGTTCTTTAAGAGAGGCTCATTGAGCAATGACTCGATCTTTGAGTTCTCAACGTTGGGAATAATGATGTTCTGTTCAACAGTCAACCGGAGCTCTCCTGAACCATAGTTATCCGCTAAACGAGCTAGCTCGTCCATGTCATCTGCTTGGACACGACCTACCGGAATGTGAAGGCCAACAAAGCTGTATCCTTCCTGTTTCTGCGGATGCACGCCAAGGTATTCTCTCCTTTCCCATTGTTTTTGAACCAAGTCCTCTGTTGATTCTCTATCTAGCTTTTGTTGAGGCATTCTCTTTACGACCTCTGCCCTGAATCCTTCAACGCCCTGTATTGATTGACATTAAAGAGGAAATACAATGAGACCAGTTATCAGCTAGCGAAGAATTTGGTTCTGCCTAGTAAAGGGAGTGGTACATATCCACTTAGATGCAGAGGCGGATCCAGGATATAAGTTCTATGGGTTCAATATTTAAATTTCTTAACATTGAGCCCAATGTATGTTAAAAGTTATGGTTCATATACTAATTTTCTTGCAATATTACTATTAGTGGATTTTTATACCTAAATTTACGCTCTGGCTACTGGGTTCAGATGAACTCGTTACCACCACTCTACGTCCGCCTCTACCTAAATGAGCTACTAACATTCCATCATTACATGAATAAGACTCGTGAATGAAACCCTACTCAAACCAATATACCAATATGCAGCTCAATTTTTTGTCGGGTGGAATTATGATTCTCAATCAGCACGATGTATGCTCTGAACTTACAAACTCTAGTTGAGGTCTATATATATTTACAAGACAAAAGACAGAATAAAACATGCAACAGATAAACATAATGAGGGTATCACTCACCAGTTCATCAACTAACCACATCATTCTTGTTTTTTGCCTGTTCCCTCTGGTACCAAGATCTCTATAAGCTTCTAATATTGCTTTGCAAACAGGGACCACGTCATCAGCTGGAACCCATGCATCTAGAGGAACTGCCTCTGCACATCGCTTCGGACTGAAGAATCCACCCACAAGCAGGTTGAATCCAAATCGTCCATCTTTTGATGCCGGCATATAGGCAAGATCATTGATATGGGGATGCTCATAAAGATCATGTGACCCTATTACACATACATTCCACTTCCTTGGCCTGCAACAAAAATCTCATTAACAGATGCTTTAATTTTCTCCCTCAAATAATCCCTAGGATAAGCCCTCCTTTATCCATGATCAACAAAAAGGCGGACAGGACACACAAATTAAGTTTCGTTTTCTCAATAATAATTACAAGGGTATAAAAATGTAGTTTATCTAATATGCCAAGTTAAAAGCAATATATAATATCACCCAAAAAAAAATAAAAAGGTAAGTTTAATGTAAGATCAATCAAATGATATGAATCTTGGCTCAAGCATTAAGGAGAAAACAGCTAAATGGGAATATTTTTATGCAAGACTTACAAGTTAGTAACAGCCGGATTGCCACGAAAATTGGCAGTAACATATTGGGAGAGCAAATTAGTGTAAGGCCTTGTGTCTACAATTTCATGTGGATCAATCCCCGCCAGAGGATTTCCCACCGGATTTCGAACGTTGTCCATGCCACTTTGCAGACTGGTCAAGCCAACTTCATCCAGTCCCTTTAGAATCTCGGGTACATCAGGTAGTACAACCCCGCGAATCTGCCAATTTTGCCTTGTAGTCACATCACCACATCCATCTTTTCCATATTTCCTTATCACACTGGCTAAGTATCGAGTTTGGGCACTCGTTGTTACCCCATTTGGAAGCTTCAATCGCATCATGAATCGGCCATCTGATCATCACAATCCAATAACATTTTATAAATATGATCAGCATATTAGATGAAGAATATCATATTAAAATTAACAGAAAAATGAATCTTGCTTTTAGCTTGACTTACCCTCCATCTGTTCCATTTTACATCACACTCTTTCCTTTTTAGTGTACCTAAAAAATACTTTATACTTGAATTCGCTGTAACTTTAAACTTAAAAATTTACCTTTAACAGCACGCTCTTATAGCAATAGAAATGTTATAATATGCCCTCTTATAGCTATAGAAATGTTATAATATGCCCTATGTTCCCTTTTACTTGTCCAAATTACTAAAAATATATTCCCAATACTTTTGGAAATGCTATCATTATCATTGGTAAATTGTAAAATACATACTTCATAATTCATTTTTTTTTTAATTTTAAAGGGAATGCAAAATCAAGTTCTAAGGTGAACAAGAGGGAGTAGTACTTTTTGCATAGTTTTCAGAGAATATCTAATTTATAATGTAAAAAATGACTAATCTAGTCTGATTTAGCTTAAAAAAATAGTCAAATCAACACTAAAAAGCCAAAGATGCCAAACAAATTAGTAAGTCCAGAGTATTAAAAACAAGATATTTATTTAGAACTTACAATGATGCTTTCTCCTATGGAAAAGGCCAAGCCACTTGAGCCTAACATCAATATCATCTTTAGTAAGCTTAGACCCTTCGATCTCTTCAAGTGAGATCTTAGCAAGATCTTCAATACCATTTTCCATAAATAATTTCATTGGTTCTTTCTCAATCTTGGCCTTTTCAGCTGGATTTATCCCTTGTCTGAATTTTTCCTTGAGTACCCAATACCCATCTTTTTCCTCTACTCTAGGCTCTAGCCTCTCGGAAGCTATCTCCGCCTCCCCAGATGGTGGTACTGCCACCGTCTGCGGCGGTGTTGCATGAAGCTTAGCAGTCCTGGAAAATCTGTTAGGATTTGGCAATGAAGTTGCTGAAAATTTAACAGAAAAAGATGCCATTTTTGACAGATTTAACAAGAAACTAAGTAATAACAAGTGATTTGGAATTGGGATGTAAACTGATTAATTTCTTGATTGATGATCGTGGCAGCTAAGGCGGTGGAGATGATATAATAATGGAGAAGTGAAATCATTTTTGTAGACGTGAACTATTTTTGGTGGACTCTTGGAAGTTCCAAAGGGTCGTTATTGTTAAAAATGTAAATGACTAGGATGTCCCTATTACCGTTAAATTTAAAATAAAATTGTGGGATCTACTAGAAAGGTCAAAGGTGCGTTATGGGCTTTTTCTTTTTGGGTAAGGAGTACCCTTTTGGGCCATCCATGGGTCAAGGAAAGAGACGTGTGCCCTTTTGATTTAACCTCATAATAATATAAATTACTCTTTTCATTATCAATATTTTTNTATATATATATTATATTATATTATATTTAATTAGATGATTGTAATTATTTTTGATTCGACTAGACAAATATATAACGTGCCCTAATTTAATTTGTTATACTCCTTATTGTTGCAATTTTTATGACAGAGTTTGACTCAGCATGCTGTGTAAGAAAGAAAATATTTTTAAACTTGTTATTTTATATATTTTATGATATTTTTTTGACTATAAAAAATATGTTATTAGATGTAAAATAAAAAAAATTTAATTTAATTATTTTTAAATATGAAAAGGTGGTATTCGTTACGAGATGAACTGATAAGGAAATAATACCATATAAGAAAACAAAGAGAAAAATAAAGCGTGTATCTTATTTTATTTTTAAATTACTAATCTCACTTACTCCCTCCGTTCCAATTTACGTTAACATGTTTCATTTTTGGTCTGTTCCAAAAAGAATGACCCCTTTCTAAATTTAAAAATAATTTAGCATAAACTTCCAATTCTACTCTTAACGAGGAGCTTTTATAACCACACAAATACTCTGGATCCCCTTTTGACTTGTTTAGGACCACAAATTCCAAAAGTCTTCATTTTTTCTTAAACTCCGTTCCCCGTCAAATAGGTTCACATAAATTGGAACGGATGGAGTATGATTCACAAATCCATGTAATTATTTCAGTGAATTGATACTTATATAAGAAAATAACTTACTCTATCTGTTTAAAAAATATTGGCACTATTTTCTTGTTAGTGCTAAAAAAATTTGGCATATTCAATATTTCCTTAATAGAAAATATTTACAAGTCACACAAGTTTCAAAAGTTTTACAGTCACACAAATGCTATGACTTATTTAAGACTATATATCTTAAAAGTTTTTCATTCTTTATTAAAATTTGTGTCAAATCAATTAAGGCAATCTTTTTAAAACAGATGAAATAGTATTTTCACTATATATCGATTCCCCTGACCAGCAACCTCCTTAGTCAGAGCTCGTCGTACCGGGTTAGTGCGTTTTACATCTCTGGTATAGTTTGAGAGCTATTGCACAGTGATCAGGTTACCCAGTGCCCATCCAAGGGTAGCGACTGCGGGTTTCCCTGAGAAATTTCTAAAAACAAATAACTTAAAATACAATTACTCCCCGTGTTCACTTTTACTTGTCACGTTTTGACTTTTCACGCCCCTTAAGGAATAATAAATGAAGTGTATAATTTACCATGATACCCATATTAATTGATGCATATTTTTAATGGTTTTGAGAAAATAATTTGAAATGAGTACTTAATGTTGTGAGTATAACAGGAAAAAGGAAATCGTTTTCCTTGATATACTAAAAGTGACAAGTAAAATTGAAAATCCATTTTTAGAACACTGGACAAGTAAAAGTGAATGGAGGGAGTATATAGTTAGTAACAACTTACTCCCTCCGTTTCATATAAATAGTCATGGTTACTAAAAATAGTTGTTTCAAATTATTTGTCATTTTAGAAGTTCAAGACAAAATTAATTATTTTTTTTATTTTTTACCCTTAGTAAATAATTGTTCTTGAAGATAGAGATAACACATAAATAGAATAAATATTCAATGAAGAGAGATTATATCTTAAGACATAAATAAGAGTAGAATAATCCAATCTTTTTTTCTAATTAATACTCCCTCTGTTTCAGTTTATGTGAACTTATTTCTTTTTTAGTTCGTTCCAAAAAGAATGACCCATTTCTAAATTTGAAAATAATTTACCTTAAACTTATAATTTTACCATTTTTTTTTCTTAAATTTCGTGCCCAATCAAATATGTTCGCATAAATTGAATCAAATGTAATATTTTTTAAGAGACGCATAAAAAAAATCAGACGGGGAGTATTGACTAAGGAACGGCGCCCACAGTTTTTCTGCTTGGCGGGAGCCGTGGTGTCGGAACCTGGAAGCACAGTAATCATAAAATACGTCGAACAAAAGCTGTCTGTGGGACCAGGGGAAAAAAGTTGGCCTATACGATAAAAAAAATTATATTGAAACGTTAATAGAAAATTTCATAAGTGGCAAGTATGAAAAGTCAAATATACTGTGGAAAACTGAAAACGATAGTAATTGGCAATTGGCAAGTACTCGTTAGTCTATGGCGTCCAATGGTGGTGTTCAAGAGAGATCTAAGTATAAAATTTTACTATTTTTATTTTCTGATCAAAATTTCACAACTGTCATTCCTTTTAGATAGAAATATTTAATTTTAATTGCTTAACAACTTGGTTAAATGGTTGTTATGTATCGTTTCATAATATATTGTATAGTATTATATTGAATTGTACTATATCGTTTTGATGTATACTATGTTGGATATATTTTATTATTTGTCGCTGTTTCATGAATCCATGTACCAAAACTTGCAATATTATAAAGGAAAAGTAAAGTACGAAAATATTATTATATAAAAAGTAGGATAAATAAAAAATAAGATTATTTAATAATAAAAAAATGGCAAGATAAGAGAAAAAAAATAAAACGATGCGATCAAATCAAATCGGTCGTTTCATAAAGTGACAGTTTTCGTCTTTACATAACGACAGATTTAACGATACAATACAATACAATAAAATTTAAGTAACAATTAAAACAAACATCATATTTAAAGTAATAATACAATACAATACAACATATAACAACCATCCAAATAAGTTGTAAAGGTATAAGAATGTATCGATATTTAAGAATCTTTTTTTTTTCTTCTTTTGTTGATAATATCTTTTGCTATAACAATGACGTCAATCCGAATCTAATTTTGCAATCTAACTTCAGTTATTATCGTCAACCCAAAACTTTTAAGCACACCCCTTAAACATAGAGTTATGCATAAATTTCAACTAAAGTTTTTTCGGAATCATTATTTGGCATTAAAAATTTCAAATTTCACTTGAAGTTGAATTTCAGATTTTTTCGAAAATTTGAAAAACTTCAAAAAAAAAAAAAATTCAAAAGTTTCACCTCAAACTACTCACAGAAATTCAAAAATAGTTCCAAATTGTATTTATATTCAAACATAATTCTAATTTTTAAATATTATTTTAACTTAAAAAAAAATTCATTTTTTTCGAAAGATTACAATTCTTATGTCCAGACGCCCACTTAAAACAGTAAAGCCTTACGGTCAACAAGAATGGCACTTAGGTACAAAATAGAAGATCCACTTGCTCTGCAGTTTGACAAAAGAGTAAGAAAAGATGAAAAGTGCATTAAATTATCGTAGGAAAGTATAAAGATAACAGTATAAAAATTGGCCTCCAATAAAAGCCAAGAGTCGAATGACCTCTCCAAAAACATCAACTTAACGAGCCGCCACAGTTAATTACATGTCAGTACTGTGCCAACGTCTAATTGTCAATTCTAACAGCTAAAATTAAGATATTTTGTTTAATTATAAGGGTCTATTAGTATTAAAGAAATCCTAAAGCTAGACAACTTGCACACTAAACCAGATATATTATGAGTTTCACAGGTCACAAACAGTTTTTTAAAGGCAAGTTGCAAGACAACGACTCATCATTACCTACGAATGTAAGTAGTCTTACAAAATCTGTTATTTTTAAAATATTTTAAAACAAAAATAAGATGTAAAAAATGTGGATATAGAATACTTTTTCCTTCCCATTTTATGTAACATTGTTTGATCAAGCGGGAAATTCAAAAAAGAAATGAATATTTTTTTAACTTTATGATTTAAAATAAGCCATAGATATTTTGTGTGACGACGATAAAATAATCGTATTAACGATAAAATAAAAAAATTATAAGTTAAATTATTTTTAAATATAAAAAGATAATATTCTTTTTAGGACAAACTAAAACGAAAATTGCGTAACATAAATTGGGACATAAGAAGTATAATAGTCGAAGTAAGTTCAAATCAAGAAGTATCCAAAATTTGGTTAAGAAATATCTTAGCATAATTATAAGTACGTGACTATATTTTTTGTCACTAACTTTTGGAGTAGAAAGCAATACTAAGTTTTACTTAAGAGCTTAAAGAAGAATTTAAATGAAAAAAAAAGGAATTTTTATTTTTCTATATACTATTTGAAACTTTATTACCCTCCCTATTCAAGTTTCAATTTAATTATATAGGCATATACAATTTACCAATTATATACATTTTAGAAATTTAATGAGAATCAATCAACTCTTATAATCTCTTTAACGTACACATCCCACTCACCCCCGTTTCTCTCTCCATACCCCCACGATTCTGTACTCTCTCCTTCCATTAACGCTCTCTTCCATTTTTCTTCAAAAATCTTTTATAATCTCTCTCAATCTTTCTGAATTCTCTCTCTAAATCCTACGAAAATAGTAGCAGCTTAACTGGACAACTAGTAAGGACAAGATATGGATATCTGCATTGGAAGATAGAATGATCAAACCATCATGGATCAAGGTAAATATTTTTCACTTTTGGACATACAATTTAATACAAATTATCTACATATTTTATACATATTATGACTAGGTCCCGAAGAATTCTCTAAGAAGAAAGGAGTCCCGAAGAATAGCCCTAAAAAAACTTATGTTGGTGATATTCCTACTTTTGATTTGGGAGTTTTCTCACAGGATTCACCCAAAAAAGTAGTGAAATCAGCACATGCAAAACAAGAGACAAAGTCCAAGCTTTCCCCTCGTGAAGCTAGGGCAGAAGCTCGAACAAAACTCAAGCATGACAGGGATGCTGGTGAAACTTCGACATCTGCTAAATCAGTAAAGCGGAAGCGCAAATAAATTGCTCGTGATGATGATTTCTTCTTCGAAGAAGTTATCCCGAAACTTGAAAAAAAAAATCAAAGTTTCTCCTACTGTCAAACCTTCAAAAAAAGAAAAAGGTTCAAAAATCATCTAAAACTATACCCCAACAGTCATTGGAGAAGGTAAAATTTTAGTAGNGTGTTACAACATGTGTTATTGTTGGTTGAGCTGATGAGGATGCAGTCAAGTTGTGTATTCTCTATCTGATACAATTCTTCATCTGTCCTTCAAAGAAAGATAATGGTTTGATAGACTATTTTAGGTTCTACTTGGTGGACTCGGGGCAGTATGCGAATTTCGCATGGGGTATTGAATCTTATACACAATTGCTTCAGTTCGTTAGGCACAAGCTCAACCATTATGTGCATTTTTATATCATTCGAGGTTTTGCACTCGCTATGCAAATATGGTTGTATGAGTATTGCTTTACAGTTAACACTGATATAGCTACTATGGTTGGTAATTCGATCCCCCGCATACTTAACTGGACAACTAGTAAGGACAAGATATGGATATCTGCATTGGAAGATAGAATGATCAAACCATCATGGATCAAGGTAAATATTTTTTACTTTTGGACATACAATTTAATACTAATTATCTACATATTTTATACATATTATGACTAGGTCCCTCACATTTGTTTCCCACTCAGTTCACCAACATGCTTGAAGCCCCAGAAGAGCTTTCAAGAATAAATTTGCTAGACAAAGTTTAATACATCTTTGAAGAAGCTGAAACAAAGGCCGAGCATCCGACATATGCTCTATCTCCATCTTCATCTCCATCTCCATCTGGACATAAGCAGGCAATGGGAATAGATAACAAGAAAGATATTGTGAAACAATTAAAAAAATTAAGAAAAGATGTTGATAGGTAACCTATTAAGATAATCCTAGCTGGTTTCTTTAATTTATGTTATGCAAATTATTTCTTTAACTCTGTCTATTTTAATAAGTAGGTCGGTTCAGACCTTGGAACCTTCAAGAAAGAGGTATACCTAATTCTTGATTTTTAGTCTTCTTCATATATATATAAGCCTCTAATTGTCAGATACATTATAACAATTTTTTGTTCTTTAGGTTTTTCAAGAATTAGGTAGTATTCGATTGCTACTCAATGATTCCATCAAGTCTGTGTTACATGCAATTGATGCTAAGATTTCATTCAAAATATATTCATTTTGGACAACAAATTTTACCATGTTTATGCTTATAACAACATTCACAAAGTACATAGCCTAACAAATTCCCAATGCAGTTTACTGATAGTTCTACGAAAAATGATGAGCATTACAAATAAAAGAACAAATAACTGAATCCGGAAAATAGTGCTAAACCATTGTTGGCCAGCAACAGTAAAACATGTATTTTAATAATTATAACACAATTTGATGACAACTAATCTACATTATATCTACATATAGCTTAAATTATCAACAAATAATCGACATTATATTTCCAATTGTTCTCTTAGATACATGGCACATGTCTGACATTCAAAATGAGGAGAATGTTCCTATAGGTATTGACTTATCTTCCCAATTTCAAGGTGCATTGGAGGAAGAAACTGCATGTATGATTTAGTACATTTTATCTACATATTGCACAATACATATTACATCTGAGCTACAAGGCAACATTTAAACAAATTAACTATACTTAAACTACAATTTATATACAATGTATTTTCTGTTTATTACAAATGATCTATAATTTTATTAAGTTGTACACATTTATTGTAACAGAGAAGGAAACAATGCGTGTAGACTCTCCAAAATAAATTAACTACAATTTAACTATAGTGTATTTTCTGTTTATTACAAATGATCTATAATTTTATTAAGTTGTACACATTTATTGTAACAGAGAAGGAAACAATGCGTGTAGACTCTCCAAAATAAATTAACTACAATTTAACTATAGTGTATTTTCTGTTTATTACAAATGATCTATAATTTTATTAAATTGTACACATTTATTGTAACAGAGAAGGAAACAATGTATGTGGACTTTCCAAAACAGGATGCAAAACTTGGCATACAATGAGAGCATTTAAATGAGGAGAAAGAGACTATGCCTTTGCAATCTCCCATTCAACAAGCAAATAATATACAACAAGGAGAAGATTGAAATGAAGATTTCACTGGTATTATATGTTATAATATAATTATAGGAAAAAAATAATAGCTTTCATATAAGTTTTAGTTTTCCCAAAAGAACTAATGCAACAAACATACAATGTTGTTCTTTTGTTTTAAATATTGTAGGTGAATCAACCGACTACATCAATGTAGGTGATTCGGACAATTACTCCAGATCTGAAAAAAGAGCAGTAACACTTGATGATTTCGAGCTTCCAGAGAACTTCTCACAGATTGTTAAGTTCAGAGAAGTAAATGAAGATAAAACAACCCATGTGCATCAAGGAAGAACATGGGTTCCTAGAAAGTATGCCAGACCCCCTTTCTCCCTTATTTCAGTTCTAGGGGAAGCACTTCTGCTGGACCTCCTACAATTTTCAACAACAAGCATCCATTTACTGGGGTTATTGGCGACGATGTTAATCATGACTTGTTGGAAGAATTCAATAAGAGTTTCAAAGAGGTTAGATTATACAGTTTTTTCATATTATAGAGTGCATAAAATTTATGAATTTCAAACTGAAACTACATAATAATTGTACTTGCTATGTCTCTAAATAGGAGAAAGATGCCTTATACTTTAAAAGATAACCAACTCAACCTGTGGTTTGATCTTGAAGTGGGAAAAATTGATAAAAGGACTGGTTTTATACTTTGTCACATCCCGGGCAAGTACTCAACAATACGGTACACATATACCCTGGCAGAATTTAATGATTCACTGTAGTATTCTGTTATTTTAGAAATATGTAAATTTTTTGTTTGACAATTGTAGTTAAATTGTATGAAGCGTTGAGAAATAATAAAATCTACTTTTTTGTAGCACATTGATGTTATTTTATATTATTTGAGGAAGAGAGGAAAGTATGGTCTTGTAAATAAAATACGGTTTACAACCACTGATTGTATGTTCAAGACTAGAATTGAACAAATTTATGAGAGGTACATTAATGCTCCTGCCAATAAGAAACTTCCTATTGTCAAACCCCAGGACGTCGTAGAAGAATACATATTGGGGTACCGATTACTTGCAAATATTGCATGGGACAAAGCTGATTTTGTGATTATGCCAATAAACATTGTGAAGAAATTTTATTAGTTGTTGACTGTGTTTGACATCACCGATAGAGTTCTAGATGTTTATGATTCTATGGTCTCTTCACGAAATCACAAACTTTGTTGAATCTGTTGTCGACAAGTTTGCTATTATGATCCCCCTCTACTTGTCATGCACCGGCTTCTATGGAAAACGTCCAAGCATTAACTACAAGAACATAAAGGCATACATTGAAAAAGGTATTACTGACCTTCTTGACATTCAATGGTTGGTCGGTGAGATACCCCCAACATAAAGAAGAATCACTGTATGTGCTGCTTTAATTCTATTTAACTAATTGTATTTTACATTGAATGCTAAAACTTTTTCCCTATTATTTTTTGCAGTGACTGTGATGTATACGTGGCGGCATTTGCAAAATATGTCAGCATTGGAGAGTTATCGATTTCAAAGGAAGACCTTTCTGATATTGATCAACACCGTCGACGCTGTGGAGCGCTCCTTTGGGATTATGCTAGAAAAAGGCAAGAGATTGGTGCAATTAGTGAAAGTGAGGTGACTAGAAGATTAGTAAGAAGAAAAGGTGCACCAACTGCGAACAAGAGAACACAAGTCCGGAAAAAGAAGAATTAGTTGTCATTTTCAGTAGAAAAATTGTAGTTAAAGTGTTTAGATGTAGCTGGATTGTAGTAAAGTTGTAGACAAATTCTTTATTAAGAAGGAGTCAGCTACAATTTATTTGTAGCAGATTTGTGCTAAAGTTGTTTTACCTTTTGTTTTGTTATTTTATCCAGAATTCTACTACATAGAATAGAAAATATCTGTGCCTTTTTTTGGTTGAAAGTTGTTAGTACTTGATCTCGATATTGGTACTATATAATTTCTTTACAGCATAACTACAATTATTTCTTCAACTACTATACAAAAATACATAATCTATTCAATTTAGCAATGTTATTAGGAAAGGCTGAAAGTAATAAATAAACCCAGTATTTGAATAAAACAACTACAAACCAATTGCATTAAGAGTTGAAATCTATTTAGCAAACATTCATTATATGAGATAATTTTTATTCGAATAAGCAACACATTTACACCACAACTATAATTCTCCAGAACAGAACAAATACAACTTCATATATCTTAAAGGATAGATTATCATCAACAATACTCAGTAAAAAAAACTTTAAACTGCATTAATTTTTATTTCCTTTTGGGAGCATTCCTACAAGATCTTTTGTTATGCCCTTCTACTCCGTAGTTACCACATGAAACCTTGTACTTTTTTGCATTTACTTAATCATAAGGTTTGTATCTTTGTTTTTGAGGTCTCCCTGACTGCCTTTTCCCGGTAGGTGGCTTTACAACTTCTTCAACTATATGTTGTGGCACATTCCATTTGCTTTCGTCAGGCAGCGGGTCTACTGGTATTTCATAAATCTGTAGAAGGCTCTCCCTTGTGTAATAAGGAGAACAATAGTTTTCATAAGACTCGTTCCTGTGCCTCAAAGCCGCCAAAGTATGTGCAAAAGGAAGTTAATCAAGCTGGAATTGTCCACAACTACATCTATTATTTTGAAGACAAACAATGAAGCGCTTCACACTATCTATCACATTATGGGTGTAATCTATTGAAGCCCTCACCTGCAATTTTATTACAAACACACAACAAGTTGTCAGCAATAGATACAAAATAAAATAACTACAATTATACAACAAATTTTCTACAATTAACAATATATATTTAGTTTGATGGAATCAATGATCTGATGTTATTGGCTATAACTTACTCTCATCTTCTGCGATAATGTCCTGTTGTCTTCCAATTCTTTGTTATATTTTTTCCCAAGGTATGTTAACGTACCCTTTGCATTCAATAACTTTTCATTAGTCCAATGTTCAAGAAGAATCCTCATGTACTCTAATAGTTCTACTACATGCAACTCTCTTGCATCTTTGGTTACCGTATTCAATGACTCTGCAATGTTTGATGTCATCGTCCACGTTCTGTTCACCTTAGCATGTACCCGAGACCATTTGTGATAGCCAATATCGTATAGGTATGTTTTAACACGTGTGTCGATCTCTTCAATCTTTGACATTCTTTCATTAAATTCATCAAGCGTATATGATCTTGCCGTGGCAAAGTACAATTCGCTTATCTTTAGATAACCCTTCTTGAACTTTGACCTTACATTTTTCCAAATATGCCACATGCAAGCATAATGTGGTATGTCGGTATAAACAATAGATGTTGCCTTCAAGATACTCTCATTCCGGTCCGAAACAACACACATATTTGGTTTTTTACCATATGCATGTTTGAATTGCTAAAAAAACACCTCCATGATGCGTCATATTCTGAATCAACAACGGCGTATGCTAGTGGTAATATGCTACCTATCACACATGTGGCAAAAAAAAATTCAATTTCTATAATAAAACTTGAGAATATAAAAAAATATAGTCTCAAAAATAACTTTATAACAATATTTTTACTATTAATCTACATTACCTGTTGCATCCATTGTGCTAGTTATTAGCATGATTCCCCTATATGCCGATTTCAAGAAGGTGCCATAAACTATTACAACTGACCTACAATGCTCCCAACCTTTGATGGAAGTACTAAGTACAATAAATGCATACAAGAAACAGTCATCTTCAGTCTTCTGCAATTTCACTACGGACCCCAGGTAAGTCTTCTCATGAATATACAAATAACTCGGCAAGCGACTGTAGGAATCAACAAGATGACCTCTCAAAAATTCCAAAGCCTTTTACCTTGCTCTCCAAGTTTGCATGTATGTTAAGTTCACACCATGATCCGACAACATATCAGTTTGTATGTCTTTTGGTATGTATATTATCTTAGGATTCGTATATTTTCGCATCACCATGCTGCCAACTAGCATGGTAGTAGGTTTGCGTTGTGTTGTCCATCAAAGAGCATATATGCAACCTGTTGAATTTTCGAACCTTGAACAATGCTGATTCATTTATGCTGGTAGACTTGAAGTGCCACGTACAATTATTCCCAACACATACGAGGCATTAGTTACATAATAAAAATAATTTAAAAAATATTATGCAAATTGTAGCTACAAAATACGAGGCTGTTTATGCACAAAAACTTATCTTAAACAATTTGTATATAATTTATATACAAAAAAACTACAACTTATACACAATATGAATTTGACAAATAAAATATTCCTACCTTCTTGCACTAGACCTTTTCACTCTAAATTGAAACTTATTCATGACAGAATAGTACTTCATTGTACTGACAATTATTTGCTTGTCTTGGTTAACTTGGCCTACTTCAATTACATTTGGCGTATGTTCTGTTATGATGATGCCTTCATATTCCACAATTGTCGGAGACGTTTGCATATCAATCAACTTCACTGTTCCTGATACTTCTCCAATTGTGTTGCAATTGCTTTACAATTGTACCACGTTAGTATTACGATAATCAGAAGAACCTGCACTCAATTAAAAGTATAACAATTCAGACCTCTGTATATTCATGTGTTCATTATTTGACAGAATGCTTGTAGAGACATAACAATTGAACTACATTTGTTATGTAGTAAGATTATAAATAGTTTGTAGTAAAATTATAAAATACTTGAAATTGAAAAAAATATCAGCACTGAAAAAATAGAGTAAACCTGCAACTGTGCTCGCATTCGGCATACTGCATTCCAAATCGAAATCACGCACTGTTATATACAACAGATACATTCCTAAGTTTTTGTTTTTATTTTTCGTCTCCATATACAGTTGAACTCCCATATCGCTCCGAATTTCAATTGGAGGACAACGTTCATTGACAATGTATTTGATTTCGATGATTTTTGCGGAGGTATCGATCATTAGATGCTCTGCAATTGCGGGAATTCAATTTACTATAATTTGAATTGTCATTGACTACAATTCCGTCAATATCAAAGTTTTTGTATCTCCCAACGCTATCCCACCGATCATTGAGCTGAAGCATAATCGCTAATTTTGACATTATGTCACGAAATTCAATTCAATTGTAGCTAATTATTTACAATTATTTTGTTCAAAACCTTTGTTTATGGAAAATCAGAGGAAACCAGAGAAAACGAAAGAATAGAAGGATACTACAGATATGTTGCCTTGATTATGTTGCGATGATAACCAGTTAAAATTTGCGTAATAGAAGGATTCTATAAATATGCTGCCTTCATAATTGGTGCGATGATTGAGTCAGTAAAATCTCTATGCGATCCCAAAATCTCGCGTCTAAATAAGGAAGACTATCGCAAAAAGGATTCTAGTTTAAACAAATGTATATATTTTGTAGCAAAATCGTGTTCAGGTCGGGTAAATTCAAAAACATGAACATTTTTCGTAATAAGGTTTCAAATAGTGTATAAGAACGAAAAAATCCAAAATAAAAAATGTTTTGGGTTGCATGGAAGTGATATCTTAAAGATGAATGTATAGCCTATTAAGGATATTTCAAGAATTGATAGAATACCTTACATTGGTTGCCCAAACAAAAATAAAGAATGCCATACATTGAATCGAGTCCAAAGGAAGTCCCATATAAAATATTGGTGAGACCAACTTTAAAAATAATTAATTCATTAATTTTAAACAAAAATATATAATAAAATGAAATAACATGAAGGAAAAGTAAAGAAAATCTTGACAAGTGTGTAACAAGGTTTCAACTCTAGCTCCTTGTACTACACACTCTTTATCTTAATATAACTAGTTTCTTTTGGAAAAAAAAAAAACAAGGTTTCAACTGTAAATTGCTAGCTGGTCTTACACTTCGACTTTAGGCCTATTTTGCGTATATATTATTTGGACAAATTAGGATATATAGCTGCAAGAAGAACATATGTTTTAGTCAATATTATGATGAATTCAAGAATCAACAGTAATAGATTCAATATTCTTTCTTTGCACATAATTCCTGTACTTGCCTCGAGCTGATCTTTTGGTCAGGTAAGTGTGTATATACGAAAAAAATACTGAACAAAATGCAGTATCAAAATTTTCAAATTGCAATATAATTGGAATCTTTTTTCTTCCAGGTATAATTGGAAATAAGTCCTTTTACATTTTTTATTCTATAATATTTAACAATAAAAAATATATTTGAATCATATCTAACATTTAGGGTGTATTTTGTACGAAGGAAAATATTTTTTAATTTTTCCATGTTTGGTTGGCTTAAATGTTTTGGAAAATATTTTTCTCATAAACTCATTTTCCTCCAATTGGAGGAAAATATTTTCCCTATAAANAATTATTTTTCTAAAAAATATTTTCTACTCTCTAAACAAACACTAGAAAATATTTTTCGGAAAAGCTTTTCACTCACCAACCAAACATGAAAAAATAAGTGATAAAACCACTCATTTTTCAGGAAAATATTTTCCTTCATACCAAACACACCCTTAGAGTTTTTCTCCACCCCAAAAGTCTCTTAATTATTTCATAGATTTTTCCAAAGAAACTTTTAGAAACCACTATTGTTTAGTGGCTATTAACTTCCTATAGCTACCATATACATATTTACTTCCTATAGCTACCTTTTCAGTTGTTATGATAATGTATTCGATGTATTCGCGCTAATCTATTCATTAATACAATAGCAAAAATTGTGTAACGATCCGACTAGTCATTTCGAGTTCTAGCGCGTTGTTCAGAAGTTTGAGGCCTTGAGTAGCTTCACTTCAGGTATTATGACTTGTACGTGTGGTCAGAATTGAATTTCGGGAAGTTCGGAGGTGATTTAGAAAGAAAATTCTAAATTCGGAAGCTTTAAGTTGGAAGTGTTAATTTTTGAGTAAACGACCTCAAAATCGGGATTTGAAGGTTCCAATAGGTTCGTATGATGATTTCGGACTTGGGCGTATGTCCGGGAGCATTTCGGCGCCTATTATGGAAAGTTGGCATTTTGAAAGTTCTAGAATTTCATAAGTTTGGTTTGAAGTGGATTTTGATTTTATCGATATCCGTTTGGAGTTATGAGCCTTGGAATAGGTTCGTATCGTAATTTGAGACTTGTGCGTAAAGTTTGGCATCATTCCAGAATGTTTAAGTATGATTTGGACGCGTTCGGCGAAGTTTGAATGTTGAAAGTTGAAAGGAAGGTTTCAATCGTCGATTCGTAATTTTTATGTTGTTTGGTCTGATTTGAGGCCTCGAGATGGTTCGTGTTATCCTTGGGGCTGGTTGGTGTGACTGGACGGGGTTCCCGGGGCCTCGGGTGAGTTCCAGGGTGGTTTCGGATCATTTCTTCATATTTTGCTGCTGCTGTTGCTGGTTCTGGTGTCGTTCATCGCGAACACGTAGGTGTAACCGCGTTCGCGAAGAGAGATTTTGGCTGCTGGATTTTTGTGCTTCGTGTTCGCGACCGAGGGCACACGTTCACGAAAGTTCGAGGAGCACAGCAACACATTCGCAATTGGGGCATCGCGTTTGCGAAAGGGGAAACTAGGCCTGGGAGATTTTAGCCTTCGCGTTCGCGGAAGGTGCACCGCGTTCGCGAAGGTTCGCTTTGTAAAGCATCGCATTCGCGAGATTTGGCACGCGTTCGTGAAGGTCAGTTTTGGAACTTAAGCTGGTAGTGCTCCGCAAACGCGATGGACTTGCCGCGTTCGTGAAAAAGGTCGGACTGGCAGTGTTCTTTTAAAAATCGGGGGTTTGGCTCATTTTCACTTTATTTCTTCCATGGGAGCCGACTTTGGAGTGCCATTTTCATCATCTATTATGGGGTAAGAAATTTCTTTTCATTGTGAGTTAAATACATGAATTATACATGGATTGGAACATGGAAATTGGTGGAAATTGAGAGATTTTGAAGAAAACCTAAAATTTGGTATGTTTGAAATTTTACCACGAAATTGGACATGGAATTTAGGATAAATTATATATTTGAGTTCGTGGCGTTATGGGTAAAGTTTATCTTCAAGAAGTTTTGGAATCTGGGCACGTGAGCCCGAGGGTTGACTTTGTTGACTTTTCGAGCGGAGTTGAGAATGATTACAAATTGTTAAATTATGCGTATTGGAGTATATTTTGATTAAATTGCACCTTGTTTGACTAG